CAGCTTGTTGCCCTATGTGGGGTAGGGGAGGCTGGGGCCAGCAACTGTACTGGCCCCAGCAGCCTTACCTGGGATCCAGGGGGCCTCTGGGATCTGCGGCCATGGTGCTCCTGTGGCAGAGAGCCTGCTGGTAGCTCAAGTGTGGGTGCAGCCAGCCAGTCCCTGGTTTTGGGTGGCACACACTGCCACCAAGTGCACCGCCCTGTTTTTTTTAGGTGTGGGATCTCCCCAGGTCAAAAAAAACTCTTGGCTGCAAAGTAGCAGTGTGGGAAACACCTGCATACGTAGTGTGTGCAGCATGTGGTGCTACAGATGGGTCTGCGGTGCTGGATACATCCACACACATCTGGATGCGCCCTATAAGTGCAAATAAAATCTAAATACATTTCATGTGGCCACTCTGTCAAGAAGTACTTAATAGAGAGCTCCCGCAAGAGCTGTTCAATCATTTGGCAAAAGAAAGTCCTAATTTAATACAGAAACATTTTTAACCTTTTCACAGTCTAATATCACTTCCAACTGATGATATGATATGTCTATGCCCATCTGGGCAATCAAAGATATAAGCAAGAGGAGGAAAAATTGCAGATCTGCCATCTGTTACATGATATGCATCACAAGCACCCCACGACATAACAAGCTAAGATCATAATTAATGCCCAATGTCAAAATGCTGGATGGTAAGGAGTATGATTTGCAAATTTAAAGCATCTCTGTGTCAAACTCTTGCAACTTCAGGGAGGACAGGAAAGGAGATCCTGTGCCTTTAAGGCAACATCTTTTAATGCTAACATCAGTTAGGATCAACTTTATTTCTTGGTAATTAAGGTTACTGTACTGGAATATATTGGGCAAGTCATCTTCTCGTCACAGACATATGGTAAATTGAGCAGAGGCCAGTGCTCGTCTCCTGCGTGGTTTAAGAAAACTGACTCAGTATCCCTCTACAAAACCTACATCCTGTTTAAGCATAACTTCTATCACTTCTACCACAGGATCTGGACACACAACTCATTTATGTCCTTTTACACATTGGTGTAAAAAAGATGCGGACACACAGCAAATAGCTGTACATCAGTATGCTTTACTAGAGTGTAGGATTATCCTGAGAAAATACAGCAGTAAAAATGCACTGGTATAGGTTATATCAGCATAAAAGTTCATCAGAAAAAATGAGGAGTTAATCCAATAGTCCAAAGCCACCTGGTCTTGCAAAGAACTGAGCCTCTCTCTACCACTCAACCTCAGTTACAGTTATCCACATTCTGTTCCTGCTCTAACATCTCTGCCAATGCTCCTCAGCCCTGGCCTCTATCACTCTCTGCAGTAGCTCAATGGAAATGTACCAGGGGGCAGAGTTTCGATCCTATGGGCCTTATGGGCAGAAGAAATTAGTAGCTGTATTGATACAGCTAATGTGACCTCATCATTTATTTAAAACTCTGGTGGTCCTTGGCCAACAAGCAAGTTATCTCTTGCCAAACCCAGATGAGTTTCTTTGGGAGCAGTCTCTGCACTGGTTGTGTCGTTTCCTTGATGTAGAAGAGGAGATCTATATAATCTGCACCTTGGGGAGCCCTTTGTTTTTTTTCCCTGAACACAGGTGTGGAGATAGTGCTGCAGTAATCTCAATTTGTCCATATCTTCCTGGAAACCAAGGATGAAGCTCCTTCCCTCCCTGTTACTGCATGCAGACAATACTGATCTGTGATGGTCTCGGAAAATGCTACATAAAAGCATACAGTCCCTCAGCCAACAGAGGGTAGCCATCTCGGTCTAAAGTGGAGGTTAGCTCACTAATCAGCTGCTTTCTGTCATCCACAGTAGCAGAGTCTGACCCAGTGTCAAGACATCACATGCTGTAAATCACTGATTTAAGTTTATAGTGTTTGTGAACCCCAAACTCAGGCTAACTCTATTATAAATCCCTTTATTCAGGCAATCTTTCTTAGTAATACTCAAGGAAATGCTGCAAGGAAAGGAAGACCCATTTAATGAAAAATAATATACTACGTTTAAAAATAAAACCTGGATTTTAGTGTTGGTAAAGGTGCCAGATTGACACCACAAGGGCAATAGCTGCTGCAGAGACAGGCAGGGCTTCTAATTTTTTTGTCCAGCCTGACCTGAGGGGTAGTTTCACAGATGGAAGGGGAGAGGGTTCCTTGGGTAAGAAATGCATGGAGCAGAGTACCCTCCTAACCCTAGTGAGAGCAGGAGCTAATATATATGAACAACAGTAAATGCCAGGATGAATGAATGAAAGGAGCATGGACATTCTGTATACACCAGATCCATTTTTTTTCAAGGGGATGCCTGTCTACTGCAAAGAACTGTATGGCTCAGATCCCAAGGACTCTACTAAAAGCCCATGAAAGTTTCTGTGGGAGCTGGAGGTACTTGATAGGCTGCAGGAAGAGCTCAGTGCTTTCCCAGATGAGACTCAATGTTAACTAAATTTTGCTTTATGAAACTGTAAATCCAGAATGCCACAAGGGAAGTTTAGGAACTGAAGGTTAATGTTTAAACCAAGTGCCTTATGCACTCTCAAGCATGTCCCTTCTCTGACCATAGGATGTGTGGTTTTTTTAAAACAGCGCCAGAGGAATGAAGCACTGAGAAGAAAATCTCTAGGAAGGACAATTCAGCTATGACTCAGAAGGGAAGTACCACCCACTGAATTGCTCACACCACTGCTTTACTGCTGGGGCAGTGTCTTCATAGTGACTGAAGGACCCATTATATCACCCTCAACACTTCCTGCAGCACTGGGGCATTCCTTGGAGGGCACCCATGCAAGTGCTGAACCTACTTAACACTCACTTAGCGTATGATATTTGACAGGAAAATAGGCTGGGTGAGTATGGATGCTGACATCTGTGGCTTGTTCTCATTCATGCTTGAAGCTGATCCAAGGGACGCTGCATAGCTATATACACGCAAACACCTGTGTGTGTGTGTGTGTGCGTGCGCGTGTGTGTGTCTACAGCAAAAATGGCAACAAATCCAGATATTTCAGAAGACAGAAATATCCCGGGCCTTATGAACTCTGTCACTTCAAATGCTGATGCTTTCTTTCACTTCAAATGCTGATGCTTTCTTTAATCTTTCTTAATAATGGTGAGTTGAGAGCACATTAGCAAAAGCAGAGCAACAGAACTACCTGTTGGGCAGAGGGCTCTTTTTCAGAGATGTCTGACAGAGTTGCTTCCTCCTACTGGTATGTATGCAGATACTAATTCAAGTAAGACTACACAACTGGTATTCTTTATTACCTTTCCCTAGCTTAATGATGAACCTCAATTCAGATATGTACTTTATAAGTTACTATGGAGCTTGTGATGTGGGTTTCATGAGGATCAGGTTTAGAGCACACTCCAGTAAATTATAGGCAGTAAGCACTGGCTGGCAGATCCTAGGACTTTGCCTGGTGTTATCTCTAGAGCAGTGGTTTTCAAACTTTTTTCATTTGTGGACCCCTAAAAAATTTTGAATGGAGGCGTGGACCCCTTTGAATTGTAAGTGTGGGTATTCACATACTTTTGACTGATCTTAGTCATTTTTGCGGATCCCTTAGGCATAGTCTGCAGATCCCCAGGGGTCCACAGACCACAGGTTAAAAAGCCACTGCTCTAGAAGCAGAAAGCACCATTTTATGACAGTAATCAAATAGCCTGCTCAAATGCCAGGTTCCACAGTTCACATAGAAATGTTTGGGCTACCTGTTTCCAAATCATGCACCACAGCTGAAGGCTAAAACTGGATGTGAACAAGAGCCAACATAAGAGACAAGCAAGAAACATCAACAAAGCATCAAGCTAACAAAAAGACATTGGATTTACCGCTAGTCTAGAAACTTTCCAGTGTATCATAACCACAGTCAGTCTGCCTTCCTGGTGTCTACAATATACAATGGTATGTGGGGGAAAGAAGGCCAGGTAGATATGTAACCATGATTATATTATACATGCGTGGGTAGGCCAGGGAAATCTGAGCCTTAAAATGGATGAGGAAGCTTCTTGTTGAGGAAAGCTCATCAGGGTTTGAGCCACTGTTCTCCCTTCCTCCAGATCCTTAAATGTGGAACAACAACTCATTGCATCTCAGCTCAGGTTGTCAAGCCATCCCATGATGAGAATTGGCTTTTCAGTTTTTCGGTGTTTTGACAGTCACCTTCTGGTGTGTGCATGTGGGTGCTTGGTGCTTGCCACGGGTCTTGGGGGAATGCCTGCAGGACGCAGCCAGAATTTTTACATTTATTTCGGAAAGTTATAGAATTTGCAAGAACACAGCTGTAGGTCTCAGAAAATGACTCGTAACAGAAATATGTGTTAAGTGGGAAGAACACCATCTATCACATTCACTGTGACTTGCCCTAATTGCCCCCATCCATTCTTCACTGTAACGTTCACCATTTCTGCTTATTCTGTTTCCTTCTCACTGGGATATCCTCATCCATGAGTATTCTTCTCTGGTATTTCAGCTTCCTTTTGTCCTTTACTGGAACTATCATTCCCACCCACCTTCCTCTGCATTGCTACCACCTAAACTCCCATTTTTTTAGATGATTCAGTTAAGTTCTCCCCCCACAATAGCCCATCATCCTCAGGTTATGATAAAATGTCTTCATGCTCTGATGCAGTGTCAGCAAGTCATCATGTTTCATGGCTTTGAGGTTTGGCTTTGCAACCTGTGAATAGGCAGGCTCCTCTTATTAAAACTGGGATGGTCCAACAGAGCTCAACGCAGGTGGCCATCCTCTTCCTTTTACTCCTCCTCTGGTTGTAACCAGTGTTGAAGAATGATCTCTTCCTGTTCTAAATTTCACCTCTGTCCCTCCATCACTGCTCTTAGTATCTGTCATTTCTTTCTCTGTCTGTGTGAGCCCCAGAAAGGAGTTTGGGATGACCTCTCTGCTTATAGTCTATACCAAATGCCTCCTCCTTCCTATGTCTGCCGCATGCCCAGCACACTGCTGATTTCCCCCTGGGTTTCAGTACCTTTTTGCAGAGAACCAGCTGGTGATCGAAGAGGAAGAAAACACGCTGCTGGTTCCGTCCATACGGCTGGTAAATCCAGGACATCTCCCCTGTGTAAATCAACTCGGAGCTCCGATCCAGGATGTCATCTCCCTGGTGGGGCACAGAGAAGGAGGCAGGGTAAGCCACTAGGCCAACCTTGGGCATTGGGAGGTGACTTTCTTGTGTGCCAGGTAGGTGGAAGGGGAGGAATGACAGGAGGTTCTGCTTATTTGTAAGCAGAACACGGAAGGGAAGAAATAAAACTGGCCTGGAAAACAATAAAATAAACAACAACAAGAACAAAGGTTTTGTTTCTATCATTTGATTCAAACTGAAAGCGGAAAAAGAGGCAGACAAAAACCTCCGCTCGGGTTGCCAGAGGACTCCCCTCACCCCTCACCACTGGGGACTTTCCTCCCAGCCGGCCCAAGCCCCGCTCCATTCACAGGCTGCAAGTGCTCACAATGCTCCTAGATGTGGCCAGAGCTGCCTTTGCTCTTCCAACAAAAGTCTCCTCTTCCTTATCTCAGTGCCCCACCTTCACCCGCAAGTCGCCTGCGCCACCACCTGCTCCGCAGGCCAGATTCTTGGCTACAGAATCTTAGGAGAAACCTGGACTTCAGGCTCCTCATCAAGCAGGGCAGCAAGGGGCAGTCCTCTCTCTTTTTCAGGATTTTAGAGTTCTTCACATGCCGATCATCAAAGCAATGCCCTGGGTGGCCTCGCAGAGCCCCACACTCAGAGCACCAGAGCACGTTCCCTGCCACATCCCTCGGTCATCACATTTGAGTGTCAGAAGACCTTCCCTGAGTTTTACAGTGCCCCCCCCCCACTCTTCCCGGGCATCAAAGTATTACACAGCAGGCTGTCAATTCGGTACCTCTTGAGGCTGGCAAAACTTATCTCTATAGACTGCCTACCCCACCTCTCCCAGCACGCAGAGGCCCTTGTCCTATGGGCCATTTGCACTCTCTCATCTCCAGCAGGCTTTCAGGACCACCTCAGTTCATGCTGCCAGAGTCTGTCCCCACAGGCTGGTAACGCCCCCACCACAGGCTGCCAGAGTGCCCTCACCCCTTCCTCTGCCTCCGGCTAAAGCTTGTTTTCCTCTCCCACATTTTTTAAGGATTCATGAGCAGATGGTCCTGCAAACACAGCTCATCTCCCACTCTCAGAGAGAACAAATGCATCACCCTTCACTAATTGGGACGAGTTTTTTTTTTTTTTGAAAGTTAATTAAAATCTATTTATTAAACCAGGCGAATTCTCCACCACCTGCACCATGTGTGTGTCTTACTCTGTGAGCACTGCATGCATCTAGCACTGAAGACTCACAGGCAGAATCCGATGGTTTCTGGCTCAAGGCAGGGGACCAAATTTGGGAGCCGTAGTTAAAATGAGAAAAGACAGGTTTTTGGATCTGAAGCCAGATTAGGTCCTGGCTTTGAGGCTGAAGTAGGCATAAGTTAAGGATAAGATGATTTTGAAACCTCAGTGAACAGCTGGCAAAGGTTTGGCCAGAGACAGGAGACATTTTAAGGGCGCAGCCCTTCTGCTGTCATTTCCTCGCCATCAAAACCAGATCCAGAAAACAGGCCCTTCCTGGGTCTGTATGTGCATGTGAATGAAAAGTCACCCTTCAGTCCCAATTTCTAGGGCTGGGTTTCTGAGACTCCTGCTGAGGTGAATCTGTAATTAAACTCTCATTTATTCTACACAAACCTATGGGACCGGTGACAAAGGAAACTTTACTGAGTCACAGTGAATGCGTTTGCAGTCTCCACTGCCATAGCAACTGCAGCACAGAAACTCTCAAATAGCTTTAGTGAGGGGGGCTGGTAGGTTTGTAGCTAGTATCTAGCTGTCAATTGTGAGTCGAAAACCTCATTAGAGATAGCTGAGCTCTTTACACTCGCACATAGCAAGAGGCAGAGCTGGCCACACGTTTCCCGGCACCTCACCAAAGAGTCCCCATGAAGAGTCAGGAATTAGGCTGGCTCATCTCCTGGTCTGACCCTGCTCTTCCTAGAGGCCATGAATTGCACTTTGTTGGGTCCATACAGGTATTGCCAGACAAAGAGCCTCCCGAGAGCACGGGGGCTCTAGAAACCCCTGCCCTTTGTGCAACACGAGGTGATGCAGGGAGGCAGGATTCCTCCAGCTTCGGGGCTGCTATTTTTCCTTACAAGGGAAGGGGAAGGGCTGGAAAAGGCTGCTTGCTAAAAATAGCAGGCGAGCTTTCTGTGACTGTTTTACTCCTGTGGTAGCATCGAAGGCCTGAGGACATGCAGAGGACTCTGTAAACACTTCTACTTGATTAACTGAGCCCAAACTGCGTAGTTCCTGCGAGGGATGTAAAAATGAGATAAAAAAAATAATAGGGTTTTTATCACACCTTGTATCCTGTGAAAACAATTTAAATATACAGTATCTGGGCTATAAATAGATGCAATCCAAAGCTTTGTTTGTGCGTTTGGGAACATCCTGCAGATAGTTTTATATTAAAGTACAATTGACCAGTTTTCATTACATCTGCTGTAGGGCATGCTTTCTCTGGATGGCCCCTATGCCTATTCCTTTTTCAAGCACAGCCAAGGCACTTGGGCCTCACCCGACAAAATTCACCAGGAGGACTCGGCGTAATGGAATGTGCATTTGGGTGGAGGCAGCCTACCAACGAGAAACTCTCTTGATTATTTAGTATACAGCCCTGGGTAGTCAATCCCAGGGCCTCATTTCTCCTAACATGAGCAAAATCAAGAGAGACGATTAACTGTCTGCTCTTTTTCCGCGTACCAGCTTGCATCTACCCTGGAAGGGCCTGATCTCCTCTTCCTCAGTGAAGCTGGTTTTGTAGATTGAGAAACATGGTTAAACAGAATGGGGATAAAATTCTCAGCTGCCTTGAACCAGCATAACTCTCCAGACCTCAGTGACTCAGGGCAGCTGAGGATCTGGCTCAGTACAGCAATCAGCCCAAGGACAAGGGTGGGGGTTGAGCGGGTAGACATCAGAGGTCAATCAGGGCCACGGGAGTGCACAAAACCCACATGCACGGAGTTTTAGGTGCATGGCTGTGCATGCCAGTCCCATGGTTGTATTCCAGGGTGGTTATGCCGCATGCATTTTTTAACATTTAATTTTGCCCATGAATATTCTGAGAAATTTGACCCTTGTAGTTAGAGTTAGAGCTCAGACACTAATCTGCATAGTCTACAGGCCCTGCTAAACCATCCACTTTGCTACCCTGAATCAACAACATGACTATGCGAAAACAGTCCAGATTTGATCTACATACAGGCAGCCTAAAGTGTGACAGTGCTCCATACAAAGTAGGAACTATACACCGCTGACAAAGTGCATATACATGGAGTGTGACATAGAAAAATAAATAATTAAATAAATAAAAGCTGCATTCTCATCTTTCCTTCAAAGAGGCACATGCACTGCCTGATAACTTAGTGCACAGCAGTAGAGACCAGAAGGTCAACCAGTTCTAGGCTGAGCTTGTGCTTCATGCTCCCTGGAGGAGCTAGCATCAGAGATGTGACATGTAAAGGTCCTGAGGGCCAGTTGCCAGTGCTGCAGTGAAGGGTCAGTGCCTCTGCTGCTGCTGAAAGCTGTCAATCATCAGCTTCCCAGCTATGCTGTAAGTAACCACTGCTTCCTACAATGAGGCATAGGAGGGAAATTGTGCGGGGCCAAAAATAGGGCTTCAACAAATGCCCAGAAAAGAAAAGCTGTGGGAAGTATCGACATTACAAGAAACAACATTCCAGTGTGGATAACAGAAGCTGACCAAGAAGCAGTTTCAATAAACATTACCAAAGGCTTTTGAAAAATGGTCAGCTCCTGAAAATAGTACCGTTGCTAGTGCCCAGTACTACCAGCCCATGGTTGTATTCCAGGGTGGTTATGCCGCATGCATTTTTTAACGTTACAAGAAACAGGGTGCACCAGCCCACCTCCTGACATACTTCCATTCTATTACCACCAGGCAGAGAATCCCCCTGATTTTGTTAACACTCAGTGAGTAGGGCCCTTTCCTGACTGACGGTGCTCTGCTCTAATTAGAGACTGATCATCTGATTAACGCTCTGGGCAATGGAAAGATCAGAAAACGAATAGCAAGTGAAATGTCGTCCTTTTCATCAGGCTCATTTTTGATGCCTTCTGTTGCTGGGGAAAAAGATCTGTCTCAATCCCAGATTTGATTTTTCCCAGGAGGTTTTCTCATCAAGCTGTCCTAGCTTTGAAAACAGTACATTTGTTGCATGCATCTTTTTTTTTTCATGCCAGTCTTTGGATTCAATAATGCAAATATTAAGCTGAAGCCAACGATTGTATATTACATAATTAAGGACACTGAGTTCTGCATTAAAGAATCCATAAAGAACAAGAGCGAGAAGAAACATAAAAGGACCTAGTTGATTACATTTCCCCCTCTTTTTTTCCTTTGTTATTTATGGGAGCTTAATACTCTTGGAAACTGCCACATTGACAGTCCTAGAGAATAAGTGATAGACATGTCTAGAAGTCTGCCTATGGCATGGGCAGTGGTAATTCAAAGTCCTCCAGGAAGTGGACCTAGGTTCTCTCCTGTGCCAAACATTCTGCCCTGGCTCAGGGTCCTTCCTGAACTTTATGCCAGTGGAAGCCTAGCACAGCAAAGTATGGCTTTGCAATTTGCTCTTTCTTCCACTCAGGGGCTTACAGGCTGGAGAAGAAAAGGGGGTCATAATGATCTGCTACCACAGAAAGAGCAGGAGTTTGAAATGTTCTGTGTTAGGCATTATCACTAAAGTAGGGACAACTACTTGTTGGGACAACTACTACTATAAAGTAGGGACAGACACTCATAATTTCTCATCAGAAAGTAACAATTTAAGATCTAGAGTTCCTCCTATTATGCATTTGAGCATATTCCAGTCTTGAATATACTGCTTTTAATGAGGCACAAAGAGACTGAGGGAACGAGCAGACACTGCATTTGTCCTGGAACAGAAAAGTGCAGGATCTGCATGTGCATGTTGCTTTTCGAGGTGGGGTTTAGTGAGCAGCTGAATGCACTGCTGCTTTTGTGCCAAGGATCCAATGATGCACTCCTAGGA